CAACCTCGCCACAAGCAGAGCCATGTGAGTACAAGTGGGTGAGAATACAGGTAGTGTACTTGGTGGAGGTCGGCCACGGTGATACAACACGGCCCTTGCCACAGGCGCTCGCTCTGGCCAGACAAGCTAAGCGACACAAAATGCTGACAACTGAATGGATTATATTCCCCTACGTCATAGGTTGGTACTTCAGCATCGTTGAAATCTCCAGAGGATTGTGTTTTGAGAGCGAGGGGGAGATGGAAGGGACGAGGGGACGTTATCTTGAGATGATTTCGGGGCTTTTTAGTGTCCCCGCGGCCCGGTCCTCGACCAGGCCTCCACCCCCAGGAAGCAGCCCTTGACAGCTGACTAACACCCATGTACCTATTTTACTGCTAGGTAACAGGGGCATAGGGTGAAAGAAACTGCCCATTGTTTCTCGGCGGCGCCTGGGATCGAACCCAGGACCACAGGATCACAAGTCCAGCGTGCTGTCCGCTCGGCCGACCGGCTCCCAACGTCAGGGGTTGAAAATATCAGACCATCTGTAAATATAACGGCCAAGCGTAACAACATTTCATCAGTTCCCCGGGCGTCAAGTGGCGGTAAAAACTACTGATACATTCACCCCTCTCCTTGTCTGTCTGTGGTCGAGGTCTGCACGGCCTCACTGCAGATCACCGCAGTGAGTAACCTCACTGCGGCCATTATTCTCCCTCACTACACCCAGCCACATTCACCATCTCCTTGTCTGTGGTCGAGGTCTGGCCATCACTCTCCCTCACTCCACCCAGCCAGAACCCGGAGCGATAATGTTCTCACGGGTCTGGACCTCACAACAGGGGTCACTTGCGGCACAACCTCGACCTATACTACACATTCCCAGCCTTTCTCCAGTCTGACGTAATGTTGTGACTGCCACTGATCACCAACCTCTACCTGGAGGATGTTGTGGCAGTGTTGTGACTGCCATTACCACCCTCTACCTGGAGGATGTTGTGGCAGTGTTGTGACTGCCATTACCACCCTCTACCTGGAGGATGGATTACTGCGACACTTCGCTTCATTTATTGTGTGGATCAAAGTGATGACATAACTTGCGTTACAATGAGGTCAAGTTGCGCAAGCTGCCTGTGTATAAATTTAGTAACACTGTCTGAGTAGGTAAACTTGGGTCTCTAAAAATACCTACTTTCCATCCCCCATGGCCAGTGGTGTCACACCACTCTTCCTCTCGATGGCCGGTGGTGTCACACACCACTCCCCACAACGGCCAGTGGTGTGACACCCCCCCCCCCCCGTGTTCCCGCACAAACATCGACTAAAAACGACAGAAAAACAACAAACGTCACACAAGTAAAAGTAGGCCAAGTGTGGTGCCTCCACATGGCGCCCGCGACCTCTTAGTTGGACCATATAAGCGGTGGGTATATATGTGGCACACACACAACCGGCTAGTTGGACCACATAAAAAAGGCTCCAGCTAGCAGCACAACTTCCACATTCAACAGTGACGTCTACATATGAGTATGTGGGAACTGTTCTAACTAGGGGGTGTATAGTCGTTAAAGAACGAAGGGTATTAATCTAGAGTTTACTAGTGTATGTGTGTGTATTGGGAGTGTACACTAGGCGTGGTCCCTTCTTGGTATTACACTGTGAGGTGTTCAGTGTAACTTTGCACACGCGCGTGTGTGTGTGTGTGTGTGTGTGTGTGTGTATATGTGTGTGTGTGTGTGTGTGTGTGTGTGTGTGTGTGTGTGTGTGTGTGTGTGTGTGTGTGTGTGTGTGTGTGTGTGTGTCCTATACGAGCCATTAACAGTATTCTTGTTTGAGTGTTGGACACGTGACCTATACCCCCTAAAGAATGTGGTTCTACAAGCTGCTTGTCTCGTAACGCGTGCGGGTAAGGGCAGGTTCTCGGCCTGTGAATGAAGTCAGTATACGCAGCGAACACGAGCAACGTGTATGAATGAGCGAGTGACGCACGATGCAAAGTCGTGTTTACGAATGACCAGCTGATTCGCCTTCTATTTGAGCAGCTCACAGTAAAGAGGGAACTGCAGAGAACTGAGGCAGGGTACTCCTAAACACCTGCAGGGTACTCCTAGACACCAGCTGGGTACTCCCAGGCCCTCACAGTGCACTCCGGCTCCCACAGAGTATTTTCGAGACCCTTAACGGGTACGAAATGCCGTGTAAACATGTGGGGATGTGACGTGTGACGAGCTGGGTCTCCCCCTGTATAGTGCTGGTGAGATGACTTACCGCCCTCCTTAACCTGAAGCGTCACAGTATCTGCAGGAGCTGCGGGCGCTAGAAGGTCGAAGGCTACATATTAGTGCTCCTCTGGTGTGATGACTCCAGCACGGATGGATCACGGTCCGTTCTCACCAGCGCTCCCAACGTCAAGAAACTGACGTACTAAAGTGTCCTATCCTAACCCTACCAGAGGACCCACGAACAGAAAACGGGACAGAATGGCAATTTGGCGACAGGCTACCATTTTCTAGTACGACAGTTTTTGGCCTTAAAGTATACGTCAAAATGCGACGTTCTATAAGGAGGACGGGTTGACCCATATAAACAAATCCACAAGGGCCGTGACGAGGATTCGAACCTGCGTCCGGGAGCATCCCAGACACTGCCTTAATCATTTGATGCATCACGTTAGTGTGATCTCTGTGTGTGTTGACCCATATAGCTCTTGTGACCAGCAAAATGTTTACGCATACACAACTACAATAACAAAACTATTACTCCCAGGAAAACACGGCGAGAGTGGAGAGTAGAGCGACGGTCTCGCTTCATACAGGTCGGCGTTCAATCCCCAACCATCTAAATGGTTGAGCACCATTCCTTTCCCCCCCCCCCCCGTCCCATCCTAAATCCTTATCCTGACATTTTCCAAGTGTTATGTAGTATACGAAAATGTCATATGGCATTTTCCCCTGATGTTTCCCTCCCTCCACCGTGGTCATAAGACTCGGTCAACCCCGCCTCCACCCCCCCCCCCTTGACGCACCAGCAGGCCAAAGGTAACACATTCACTTCCAGCAGTCACACGCCCCAGTCACGGCTCACTGTTTCCAACACCTGTGTCACCTCTAGGGGCTCCAACACCTGTCTCACCTCTAGGGGCTCCAACACCTGCCTCACCTCTAGGTTAGATATAAGTCACAAGCCTAGCCATAAGTTATAGGCTAGACATGAGTCACTAAGGCAAGCAAAACTCGCTAAGAAATGCACCTCATTACGCAAGTTATGTTGCTTCTTGCAATCATAAAGAAACATGGGTCATGAAACCTAGCACCGAGCCATTGTTCATGCACAAAATTATGGCGCCAACACTGATATTTTTGAATATTAATGATACGAATTATACTCAATATTAAATACATAAATAATTTTGTATAAATGCCAATTTATCTGCTTCATTTGATAAACTTCATTCCAGTTCATAAAAATCGTGGGTAAAAGGGATTTATAGGAGCCTGTATATGAGATAATGCCTTGTACCAAGCTGAAAATCAAATTCCAATGTAGCCTTCTCAATATATGCGAACCTGACAGCCTTTCATAAATGTCACTTACATGACATTTATGAAAATGTCTCAAACTTGCAACACACAAAATATACTCTATTGCTTTAAGGAACGCATTTTAAGTAAATAAAATATTTAAAATTCCTTTGGGTCATTGAAGTGAGGGAGTGGGAGGAGAAAGCAGTTTTGTTAGCCTAGACGCAAATGTCAACAACAGCAGTCTTGCTTACTGAGTCGCAATGTCAGCGTCAGTAAGTACTCTTGCTGGCCTAGCCGCGTCAACAACAGTACTCTTGCTAGCCTAGCCGCGTCAACAACAGTACTCTTGCTAGCCTAGCCGCGTCAACAACAGTACTCTTGCTAGCCTAGCCGCGTCAACAACAGTACTCTTGCTAGCCTAGCCGCGTCAACAACAGTACTCTTGCTAGCCTAGCCGCGTCAACAACAGTACTCTTGCTAGCCTAGCCACATACTGTTACTAGCCCAGCAACAGTAAGGGGTTCTCACCCTCTCCCTGCACTGGTCGCTTTCAGGACTTAGGGGAAAATTCGACATGCTCACAGATGCATCCTAATATACAATATTCTACCTCTTCACAATGTTAAGGGTTATTCATCCCCGTGCCACCTCTTGGGTAGCTTAATTTTCATCAATCTTGTCACAATGTCAAAATTTTAGTATAGTTTTCATGTAAGTAAATTTAACTTAATGATTATAAATATGTCGGATTGGGGGGCCATTAAGGCCATACGAAACTTGTATATAGGCCGATGGGTTAGTCTTGATGCTAATGGGTAAAACACATGCATTTTTTACCCATGTTTGTGTTGCGTCTCGTAGAGAATTACAAGATATAAAAACATTTTCTAGTCAACACACACTAATAGTAAAAGGTATAACGTTATCAACCATGCGTAATATACGTAGACAAAACAAAGATGTGCAACTAGAGGTTCTGGAAATTTTGTAGTAAAGTCAGATAGGGAAGGGGGGGTAGGTTGAGCTTTGTGGGGAGGGGGAGGTGAGGTAGGAGTGGGTGAGAGTAAGGAAGTTAGTATCAAAAGAAGGCACCAAGTCTGGGACACTTGTAGAAGTAAGGAAGAGGAGGGGGAAGATGCGGAAATTATCAAGGGAAAGCACCAAGCCATTACGACTATATACCACTGGGAAGGGGGTTAGGATCGGGATTTGGGATGGGACGGGGGGGGGAGGAATGGTGCGTAACCACTTGGGACGGTCGGGGATTGAACGCCGACCTGCATGAATTGAGACCGTCGCTCTACCGTCCAGCCCAAGTGGTTGGGAGAAGGTGAAGGTGAGCAGAGGTAGTAGGATGAGTTAGGGAGGGAAAAGAATGAGTTAAGAAGGCAGTAATGGTGAGAAAGGAATGCTGGAAAGAGGGCGTGTTAAGCAGGGAAAGACAAAGGAAGAATAGGTATTAAGAAGAGGGTATAACTAGGGCAGCTGACTTACCCTTAAGTTTGGTTGGTAGGGGCTCCACCCGCTCCTCTATGGTATTGAACAGCTCGCCGAACAGCTCCATCTCTTCCCTGAAGTCTCTCTGGGACTTGACCTTGTCACTCCTGGAGAGGTAAGTTGACTCGCACTGGGAGATAGATCTGTAGTTTCGCTGAATGAGGCTGACGACAGACAAGGGATGCTACACCTCGTTTATCGTACAGTGCAAATCTGTCGAAAGATGGTTAATCTTCCTTACAGGATGCAAATAACAGCAAAAGACGTCTTCCACAGGAAAACGAAAAATCTCGGCTATTTTAAGCTTCAATCGGTGCGCAGAAGCAGAACAACGCGGGTGCTGAAGTCTAGGGGAGGAGGAGCGAGAGGTGAGGAGCTGACCACGGGAGCGGGGCCCAGCACGTGTGGTTGTGCTGACGGCTGGCGGCGAACTGACCACACTTGTGGTTGCTGGTGGGAGCTCGAGCCCTCTACACGGCTCAAGGCCGCTTCCGCTGGCTCCTCCTCCCTCCTCTTCCTCCTCCTGCTGGACTTTGCCCCATATACACATTGGCCTTGACTGTCGAAGAAAGCCTGAGGCTTGTAGAGACTCGCCACGTTTTTTGCATAATGAGCTTTGTCGGGTGTTTTAAAGTTAAGCATTGTTCTTGCCTCTGGCACAATTATTGGGTAACTGAAATGCTAATAAGCTCAATCACCTCCACCGTCCTCCACCACTCTCACTTCCCCTCAATCACCGACATTGTCATTTCACCACATCCGTCATCAACCACTATTATCCCTGTGTACCATAATTATACTCTTCTCCTCCCTATTACCCACTTTTTCCAGCATCTTCCTCCAACATGACCATTCTCCCTTTTGAACACCACCTCCCCACTTCCAACCCAGCCTCCTCCACCAACACTCTCCCTCACTACTACGATTCTCCCTCACCACCACGACTACCACCACAACTAACCACTAATAATACAGCCTTCGCGGAGACATAAGTATGCAGTCCCGGCTTGGAATCTTTGCCTTTAACTCTTAAACGGCGCAAAACAGGGGGGCCGGGAAGTGAAAAATAATCGAATTATATAAAAATTACTTAAAAATGTTAAATAAATCTCCAACTTATTGGATTCAGCGTCGTGAAACTTTCATCAAAATATTTTTTGAAATTGATTTTAGACGATTTTTTTAAAAAAGAGGAACGTTTTGTTGATAAGAACAGCTCCTATTAACTAGAACTGATGGATAATGCAGTAATAAAGAGATGCAAGCACCTGTCCGACGCACAAAGAAGAAGAATAGTAGTAAGAAGTGTCCACAAAGTGGATATACAGCTGGTGCCTTTATAGCACTGCTGAGTAATACATAATAACACGAGTAATAATGAGTAAATATGTTGTTATGCTCTATATTGTTATATATCATATAAATACATTGTCCAGTGTGAATATTTATTACTTTCATCAATATACAAAAAGAATTTTTTTAAGGGAAATTATATTTTTTTAAGTTTTGTTTCTTCTTTGTTTATTATGTGATTTTGTTGTAACGTTTACATCCTGGAGGGTGCATAGTGCATAGATATGTATATGTATATATATGTATATATATACATATGTATATGCATAAATATGTATATGCACACCTGTACCTAAATATGTCAAGATGGAATTAAATTGGTCAACAAATAAATCAGTCACAACTGGCAGAACTTGGGACTTTGATTTTTTTTTGGCTGATTTTTTCACAGATTTCAAACTCTATTTTCTTTGTCTCTTTAGATTGTTTTGATGATTAGGGACCAGATTCGGGCTTTTTCACTTATATAAAGTATACCCTAAATATATCCCCTAAATCATTATAATTATCCACATTCCACATTAATTATCCAATTCCCTTCTCTGAGGCTGTGGGTCCCTATAATTGCACCAGTGGTGGTACCCCCCTTTATAATTATCCACACATATATATATATATATATATATATATATATATATATAACTGAAAACTCACACCCCAGAAGTGACTCGAACCCATACTGCCAGGAGCAACGCAACTGGTATGTACAGGGACGCCTTAATCCGCTTGACCATCACGACCGGACATAAGGAAGTGATAGCCGAAGCTATTTGAACCACTTCCCCGCCGGCACTCGGATGGTAATCTTGGGCATAGCAATTTATCAAATCACCTCATTCTTTGGGGCACACGTGAGGAACACAAATGCAATTTGTGTTCCTCACGTGTGCCCCAAAGAATGAGGTGATTTGATAAAATGCTATGCCCAAGATTACCATCCGTGTGCCGGCGGGGAAGTGGTTCAAATAGCTTCGGCTATCACTTCCTTATGTCCGGTCGTGATGGTCAAGCGGATTAAGGCGTCCCTGTACATACCAGTTGCGTTGCTCCTGGCAGTATGGGTTCGAGTCACTTCTGGGGTGTGAGTTTTCAGTTGTATATAGTCCTGGGGACCATTCAGGCTTGTTTGCATATATATATATATATATATATATATATATATATATATATATATATATATATATATATATATATATATATATATTGTCTTGATTTACTTTCAACACATATTGAGCTGCAACTTTCATATATTCGAGTACGAATGCCAAACAATGTTTATTAAAACCTACAAAAAAATTAATGAATTAGCACTACCTTATTCATTGTCGATAATTTCAACTGCAATTATATCTATAACTAGAATTTCAACTTTGAGTCAGATAAAATAAATCCAGTTTCTGACTAATTCTAACCATTTTTACATACAGTGTGCACAGCTGTCTGTTCTACAGTCCCTATCAAAATGATTTTTCATAAACTCTAAACGCTTGGAGTTATGTGTTAATTTGGAGTTAATTTGTTATGTGTCTTGGAGTTAATTTGTTTGTCTAAATTTGGCGCATATTTCAAATGACATATTGACGATTTTTTTTTTACAGTAAACTATACTGAAAATCTATAGTCTAAATATATGAAAATGAAGATCATATGCTATTCTGAGAGCATAATAACACCAAATGAACAATTGGTGATATTTTATATTTTTTAATCTGGTTTGAAAATCTGAAGTTTTCAATATTTAATTTTAAAAATATTTTTGATTTTCTTGCTTTTCAAGTTACGTTGGTGATCATCTAGACAAAGTTGGAGCATTTGCTAGTTGATTATACACAACAAATTGGAAAGTGTTTGTGCTAGTTTGAGAAACTGATGTTATGTCTAGTCATATGTGTATGTTTTGCGCCGTTCAAGGGTTACTGGCAAAAATACAAATATTAAATATCCAAAGTCATTCATCAAGACTTTCTTGAGCTGAAGGGACTGAGTTACGAGGAAAGACTCTAAGTATAAACTGAACACCATCACACTGGGAGAGGAGAAGAGAAGGGGGGGAACATGACGACGATAGACAAGATTCTTGGGGGGAATTTATAAAATAAAGTAGCACTGTTTAAAGCGAGGAACACCTGGATGAAAGAACACAGATAGAAACTGGTGACAAATAAGTCACACTGCTACATAGTCTTCCCAGCTTGGTAAATCCATTGGACTTACCATTATTCATCATCAACAACAACAAATATTCACAGAACCAACCCACCAACAACACTCGATATCCTCCTCCACCAGCAATATTCCTTCAGTCATGCATCAACAACACCTCCACTATTATCTCGCTATCATTGTTACCAACACCAACAGCTCCTCCACTACGCTTCACCAACACACCCGCCTATATTCCCCGCCCCCCACCAGTACTCTCAGTGTTCTCCAACACCACCTTCCTCCACCACCACAAGTAGGCCACACATCTAATATTCTCCACCACAAACAGCAGTTACAATGCCATCAATTTTATATTAATACCAGCAATACGGAAACCATAAATTCATCAGTTATCAACGACAAGAACACCCAACAACCGGCCAGTCCATCTTACAGAACTACAACACATAGAGCGATTGAAGCATATACATAAGTTCTGTACAATTTTATCTATCGTGTGCCTAATATAGGAATTCCTTGGCCTACTCTAGTACATATACCCATACTTTCCAATTCCAATAAACTCACTCTCGCTATACTCGTAATGGTTTGATGCTTCTCCTGATAGTTCCCTTCCCTTCCCTACTCTTCACACCCACCTCCTATCCCATACTGACCTGTCCCGTCCACATTCCATCCCAGCATCTGCCCAATATCCTCTCACCCGTTAAATTATCAAGCAACTCAAATCCAAACAATATTAATCCTCACCCCATAATTTACACTCCATCGACGACTATCGCCATGATAACGCCCCCAAACAGCAATTCCAAACACAGTTGTAATGGAAAGTGGCAGCGACGCACTAACTAACAATAACTTATACTTGAGCGAGAATGACTGGAGGTGGCTGATTATATGTAGTGCTCCGTCAAGCCTCAGGTGGTAACCTTGGTTACATAATCCACCTCCATTTCTGCTAACCATTCTCCTAACTTGCAACTGAAATATCCACCCCATATTTCTTGTTTTTTTCTAAACATTGTGTTTTACATATATTTATATATTATATATAATACGCATATAATATATGTATATCTATATGTATTATATATATATATATATATATATATATATATATATATATATATATATATATATATATATATATATATTGGTGTATACTGGCAGCAGGTTTTCTTTCAAACAATAGCTTTATTGTCTTATCACCTGACCCAGTGCGGGTATAAAATCAACCAGCATTGTAAGATCTCTTCACTTGAGAATGAACCATGGAGGTTCGAAACGTTGTGCAAATTGTATAAATAAGTGTAATACATTCTATAGTAAATCACTTCTTTTCTTCACCTTAAAAGTACGAAAATGAGTTATGGAGAACTCCTATTTCAACTAAGCCCTGATGCTAAGAAAATAGTTAGAGGGATAGAAGCCCTAAACCAGAAAATAATAAATACAGAATATGCGGTCATATTCAATGAAATATATATATATATATATATATATATATATATATATATATATATATATATATATATATATATATATATATATATGTCGTATATATATATATATATATATATATATATTAGTATATTTTGGTAGCAGTCTTTCCTGTAGACATATATTATTAAATATGACCGAAAAAGTAAGATTAATAATTCTAACACGAATTTTCTCAATCTTTCGTACATTACGCTTCACTGTTGGAGGTAAATCAAAAATCACTTCTCCAAAATTCATTTTTATTTCTAGTCTGTCTAGAAATAAAGTCTGTCCCGTGTCGCGTCAGACAGACTAGAAATAAAAATGAATTTTGGAGAAGTGATTTTTGATTTACCTCCAACAGTGAAGCGTAATGTACGAAAGATTGAGAAAATTCGTGTTAGAATTATTAATCTTACTTTTCGGTCATATTTAATATA